TTTTTTTTGCAGTTTTTGGCCAGGCCCGGATTTAAACCCGGCACCCCTGGCATATGGGGCTGGTGCCCTACTCCTTGAGCCACAGGCGCTGCCTCCATTTTTAATTATTTTTTTAGAGATAGAGTCTCACATTGTTGCCCTAGGTAGAGTTGCTGTGTCATGGCTAACAACAGCCTCCAACTCCTGGGCTTAGGCAATTCTCTTGCCTCAGCCTCCCAAGTACCTGGGACGACAGGTGCCAGCCACAACACCCAGCTATTTTTGTTGCAGTTTGACCAGGGCGGAGTTTGAACTCGCCACCCTTAGTATATGGGGTCGGTGTCCTACTCACTGAGCCATAGGCACCACCTTAACTTTTCCATTTTTAGTAGAAACAGGGGTCTTGCTCTTGCTCAGCCTGGTCTCAAACTCCTGAGCTCAAGGTATCTTCTTGCCTCAGCCTCCCAGAATGCTAGGATTATAGGCGTGAGCCACTATGTCCAGCCCACACTGGCCTTTGGATTCTTCAAACGGAATCACTCTAGATGGCTCCACAAAGTTTGCCTGATTACCTTTGCTCAGCTGTCTGCTTTTTCGCCCTTCCCTCCCAAGCCCTCCAATGTAAGCTTCAGTTTTATCTGGAATGTTACCTCCTCTGGAAGCCTTTTCTTGACCCCTGACTGAGGTTTAATCCCCAGAGCACCCCATAATTCCCTACAAGCCATTTTAGATAACTATGTTCATTTGATTATTTACTTATTAGTGTCTGTTTGATGTCTGTTCTCTGCTAGACTGTAAACTTCATGTCGGCTGGGACTGTAGTTCTGGTTACTGTTGGTCTTAGAGTCTAAGAGTGCCACACAGCACCTGGCACATAGCAGGAATGTTATAACTATTATTGGATGGATAACAGGCTGTCTGACAGGCTAGGCATCTCAAGTGCTAAGCTTATATGTGAGGTAGGAAATAAAATGAACTTACTAGGTGGAGCTTTCAGCCTGAGGTAGTTAGACTTGACTGGACTGGCAGCAAAACAGCATTTGACTGCATTTGAGCTATGGAACCACTTTTCCAGAGTTGCCTCTGGAAGACACTTCCTAGACTGGTTGGGATGGGACAGAAGAGAAGGAAGGAGACCCAGTAATTAATTTTGGACACATCCTTTTTTTTTTTTTTTGAGACAGAGTCTTACTATGTCAACTCATGGGCTTAAGCGATTCTCTTGCCTCAGCCTTCCAAGTAACTGGGACTACAGGTGCCCACCAAAACACCTGGCTATTTTTTTGTAGTAGTTGTCATTGTTCTTTTAGCTGGCCTGGGTCAGGTTCGAACTCACCAGCCTTGGTGTATGTGGCTGGTGCCCTACCTACTGAATTTTGGATACATCTTTACAGAGTGCCCACTGTGTGCCAGGCAGGCACAGGACTCAGCATTGGTGATTCCACAATGAACAAAACTGGAGGTGTTCCTTTACTGGGGAGCTTATTGCTATGACAGCAGAATATATGAAAAAGGGAGTCTCTTTAAGGCTTTTCGGTTTCAAAAGCCATCCAGGGAATAGAAATGATACAGGACCACTGAGGTGCAGCAAATAGGGAGACTTTAGTGGGAGGGGCAGGTATGTATACATATTATAGGTTGCTGAGGAGGGAAGGCTATGTCCTACTCCCCTGGGACCAAGGCTGCAGTTGCTGCTTGGGGAGCATGTGGACATGGTGGCCAATACCCCAGCTCCATTTCCTGGGTAGATTCAGCAGTAACCAGTGTGGGTGAATTACAAAGTATTAAGCAGGATTTGCAATAATCTGGATGGAGCTGGAGACCATTCTTCTAAGTAAAGTATTGGAAGAATAGAAAAACACTCCATGTTTTATCACCTTGGAACTAACTGAGGAACACACATGTGCACAGAGGGCAGTAAAACTCAGTGGAAATCAACTGGGGAGAGGGGAGAGAAAGGGAGGGGAATACATAATCCCTGGGTACTGTGAACACTATTTGGGTGATGGGCACACCTATAGCCAAGACTCAAGTATTACAGATGTGATCCATGTGTACCCCCTAATCTTGTGAAATAATTTTAAAAAAATAGGAAGAGATGTTTCCCCTTATGGTTCCTTTTTTCCTGGCTCTTCTTCTATGTTTACTTTTCTAGATGAACTTTAGAAAAATTTTGCCAAGTTTTTTTTTTTTTTTTTTTTTGAGACAGAGCCTCAAGCTATCCCCCTGGGTCGAGTGCCATGGCACCACAGCTCACAGCAACCTCCAACTCCTGGGCTCAAGCGAGTCTCCTGCCTCAGCCTCCCAAGTAGCTGGGACCACAGGCACCCACCACAATGCCTGGCTATTTTTTTTGGTTGCAGCCGTCATTGTTGTTTGGCGGCCTGGGCTGGATTCGAACCTGCCACCTTAGGTGTATGTGGCTGGCGCCTTAGCCACTTGAGCCACAGGCGCCGAGCCAAAATTTTGCCAAGTTTTAAAAAGCCCTGTATTCCGACTGGCATTATACTGAATTTATAAATTAATTTCAGGAGAATTCCTAGCTTTTAATATCCTTTTAATATTCGTTGTCTTTTTAATTCATAGAAAAAAAGGAACATATGTCTCAAAAGGTACTATTAAAGACTTCTTGAACAAAATAATAAGACGAAGATGATTAGGCAGGATAATGAGAAGTGTTGGGAGTTGCCAGATCGAACAACTGACACTAAAGATTAGATGAACTCTCCCCACACTCTTCTTTTTGGCCTCATTTTAATTCACAAAACTGAAATTCAAGGTGGGAAGAACCCTGAACTGTCTGAGATTTTTTTATACTACTCAGATGGAAAAGAGAATTAAAAAATATTAATTTGTCATAGAAAACTTAAACTTAACATTTTTTTTGCCCAGGAAAGTCTGCAACCTGAGGCTGGGAATTCTGCAAATCAGAAATAATTTCACAAGCAAATATAAAGTTGACTGTTAGGCTGTAAGGTGAGGTTCAGGATGCCACCAGAGTCATTCTGCAAGAAAAGACTCTTAGCTGACAGATAGGAAGTGACAAGGGCCCAGATGAAGATAGATGAGTCTGAGAAACATTTGTTGGGAAGAAACCACTGGGTGAGATTATAGATTGGGAGTCACTTGTGTGTGTAGTCTGAGAAGGTGGCAGAATTAGAAGGCTGATTCAGGGTGAGGGCAAAGAGTTACATTTCAGAGGGCTGAGTTTGAGGAAGGGTTATAAACCTCAAAGGGGAACTGTCTTAGGGCAGCCAATAACAGTGATAAAACATTCAAAGAGCAACTTGGATTTTTTTTGTTAGTTTAATGCTCACTCTTGTTACTTCCTTGAAACTTCACACCTACTGTGAAGTGGTATTTTTAGGCACTTGATAGTTATGAAAGTCAAGGCACTAAGGTACAGAGAAAAGAAGTGCCGTGCCGGGATCATAGATCAGTCAAGGGATTACCTTCTCCAAATCCTTGGCCGGCCCCCTTCACGATGCGGCCTTAATGGTAGAAATGGGGCGTGGGGATTGGTTCCCCTCCTCTACAATTCTGATCTAACATTTGGGAGCCATCTGCAGCGCACAGATCAGGTGTGGATCAGGGAGCGGATGCACTTTACTAGCTTTATGCGCATTTAGCTGTCCCTCTAACACCTTTTCCCTTTGTGTCATTTTAGGCGCGAAAAGTTTCTGGAAAGACCAGGTACTCTGCAGCCCCCGGGTTAGAACTACATTTCCCAACACAGCCCCACGAGGGGGACTTTGCAACTCCAGAACTACATTGCCCCAAGTGCACAGCGGTCGAAGAGGCGAATTAGCTTTGACCCTGATTTTATTTAAGATTCAGTTTTCCCACTCTATAGCCCAGATATGGTCACTTATTCCCCGTTTCCTGACAGAGACTTCCGTTCCCAACTCAAACTCCCGCTCTCATTCTTCTACGGGTGGGAACGATTGTGGGTTTGGAAGCGGCTCGGGCCAGGAGGGGCCGCGAGCCTCCGAGAGCATCCCGCCTTGCGCATGCGCAGACCATAAACCAACGCCCGGTGTTGAGGCGCGGGTTTGGCGGCGCGTTTTAGTGAAGTCGCACGTGAAGCATAGCGGCGGCTGGAGCTGGTGAGTCGAGGCCGAGAGCGGGACTGAGGAGCAGCACGCAGCACGGGGAGGCGGCAGCTGCTGCAGGTTGGGCCAGGGCCGAGCCGTGGGGCCTGGGGAGCCGGGGTGGGGAGGGGTCCGAGGTCGCGTGGCGGGCGAAACAAACTGGGAACTCGGATTTTCGTTGCTATGCAACCGGGGGCGTCGTTACTAGGTAACCCGAAAGGCCCGCGTTTCCGGAGAGAGGAGGGTTAGAGCGGTGCTGCTAGGTCCATCTGGGGCGGAGCGGCTGCCAGACGAGGCCAGTGCCCGACCCCTGCCCCACAGCCCATCCTCCTGTAGCCTCGGTTTGACTGGTTTCCTTCCTCGAGGTACCCCGAACTTGTGGGTCGCAGCACCTCTCTTGCCAACGACACCATCCTACAGTTCTTGGCAGGGGACGCACTGTTCGAAATAGCACATGCCACTGACACCCTGTCTCCGGGAGGCTGAGCCCTGGGAGGGCGCGGCGCGGCTGGGAAGCTGCCCCTTTGCCTTTGCCCTGCCCCCCAAGCAGTTGGCTGGGCAGCAGCTGTCAGGGGTTTAGCGGGGGCTGCCCTAGACTTGCCAGTACTCTGACTTCATTCTCTGCAGTGGCAGCTTCGTCCTGTATAGGATCTTCATTTTGACTCAGTTGTGCTTCTCCGGTGGCTGCTGTATATTTGGCTCAACAGTTAAAATAACCTCCCTCTTCGCCGCTCCATGTTTCTCCATTGCTTCCCTCGTGGCTTCTTGGCGGGTCTTCTAGTATTGATTTAACAAGCATTTATTAGTCATCGTTCTGTGCTACTCTTTGGGGATTCCAAGGAAAGATAGATGTTCAAGTCCCATCAGGAGACCCTCAGTCTAATGAGAGAAGCAGGCTGACAAACCGCTAATGTAGTGAGTGGTATATTAGTAATTTGTGTGATGCAAATATTTCTATATTTTACATGTTTACTAATATGTTTACAAAGTGCTTGCAGCAGCATCTTAACTCTTGGTAGCAACTCTTAACCTGGCTTCACCCAATTTTGCATTTGAGGAGAATGAAGCACAGACAGGTTAAGTAATAGAGATAAAGGTAATGATTTCTGGTTTGTGGTATGGTTGAGCCTAGGACAGAAGTCTAAGGTTCTTTGTACACTGCTACATTTTTGAGGCTTTGCCTGGAGTAGATTCTTACCTGTGCTTCTGATCTTTTGTAGCAGCCGTGACGTCAGAAATTCCCAGGGAGTTTTACAAACAAAAGACTGAGCCCCCCCTGGAAGAGTCTGAGTAGCTCTGGGTGGGGCAGACATCCTTGTTTAACAAGCTGCACAGGCAGTCCCGTTGGGCAGTGAGTAAAGAGCCGCTACTCCATAGGGGCAACTATGAGCAGTGGTGGGACAGTCAGGCCTGACAGAGGGCACTATGTCAGCTGCCCCTCCTGCCACATAGTGAGTGATTCATAGCATTAAAGGAAGCTAACCAAAGGGAAAAGAAGAGGAGGAAGCAGCCTGTAAACTGCCCCACCCTAGCCCGGTAGCAAACCACAGCTAAACATATGCGGTAGTACCTTCTCACTATCCTAGTAAGTAAAGCAGTTTCCCCAGCCATATTGCAGCTGCCTGAACAGAAGTGGCAGGAATGGTCCTCTTCTTTTGCTGTCTTTTCATACCTCTTGGTACAAAACCTGTGACCGGTAAGCCCAGCAGGTATGTCAACTCCTGGCAGGTGGTTTCCTTATGGGAGTCTGGAGGTCCTCCCTCTTTGAGCTTCCTGATGTTTGGCAAAACATTAAGCTCCTTGAGGGCAGTGATCATGTCTTACCAAGGCAGTGTGGGGCAGTGTGAGACAAGCAAGAGGGCAAAACTGAGATCCTAGGTTCTGAAGTCAAGTCCCAGTTGTGCTCTGTGATCTTGGATAAGGCACTGGACCTCTCCTAGTCATAATTTTTAGAGTAAAATGGGGAGAGTAATAATAGCTTAAAAATTGTTCTAATAGTTAAATGAGATAGTGAAGTAACAAGCACTTTGTAAATTATGAAGCACCACACAAAAATTATTATAATTTATATTTATTGTTATTTGTTGTAGTTGTTTTTGTTGTGTCTGCTATTTGTCTGAAGCCAGGCATTGTAGGAAGTGAAAAACTTTAAGACTCCTTATGCGTCCTCCTTGTGCATTTTGGTTTTGTACCAAGAGATATGAAAAGAGAGCAAAAGATGAGGACAGCAAAAGAGGTTATAACTACTTCAGTTCTTGAGTACCCATGGCTTCTTTCTTTATTAGTGTTTGATTAGGCTGAAGTGAGGAGGCATAATGACAGTGAGTTCATACTGCCTGGGATTCACCTGGAAGAAATGAGAAGGAATCCTGTTAAAACAATTTGAAAACATGCACAGCCAGCCAGTCATCCAAAGGGTGCGTTCCAAAATCCTGCTAGATTTGCTCTCTGGTGTACTTCAGAAGGTCATCTTGCATGGCGATGCCAGCCTCATTGTGAGGGTTTATTTCAAGATCCCCCAGCTCCCCTCTGTCCTGAAGCAGATGACCACTTGATGGCACAGAACACAGCAGGCTGCCGTGGGAGGAGCAGCTCACAGCACCCTGACCTTCTAGGGCGGAGGAGACATCTGATCCCTCCTGGTGGAGGTCCTTGGATACAGGATCCAACCCAAGATAGCAACTCTGCTCTTTAAGTCCCCAACATGGTTATGACCCACTTAGCTTAGAAACTGACCTATGCTGTCCTCATCTCTGATCACTGGCAGGCAGGAACCATCTGGTTCTTGATTCATGCCAACATGAGAAGGCTTTCCCAGTCTGAGGTACTTCCATGTGAATAGTGCATTTTGCAGCCCTGCTTGACCCTTCAAGACCTTAAGAAGGGCTTAGAGCAGCTGTTTCTGGGCCAGAAAATACCCCAAATGTAGTATTTTTTAGAATTCTTTCTTTGACCCTTCTCCTTCCCACTGAGCAAGAATAGCAACATCCTTCTCTTCCCTCTGCTTCATGCCAATGTCTCTGGATTTCTGGCCAACTCCTTGAGTGCCTGAGTAACTGCAGAACTTCAGAAACCTGGCTGGTCTAACCTCAGGGGTATGGCTTAGCCTCTGATCATCAGGTTGGAATGACAGAAACTCCCTAGAACTATAGGTTCATTTCAGAGCCTGAAGGAGAACAAGACGTGAAGGCAAATAAAAGGTGGGCTTGCATACATTTTTCTTGGCTGATCTCCACCTGCTTCAGTGAGTTGGTACTTGTTGGAGCATAACTTGTCTGAGGCATTGTGTTACAGAAAGATCAGAGCACAAAGCACAAAGTAGTTAGGTGAATTTCACCAGTAATTCACTGAGATGATTAGTAGATGCCAAGTTTATTTTAGCTCTTGAATAATCCATTGTATGATTTTCTAAATCACTTCTGAGACTTAGTTGGATGGATATAGAAGAGTGGTTATGTGTGAGGGGTCTAGTGTCAGGTGTATCCAGATTCAAATCCTGGTTTCCCCACTTAACTACTTAACTTTTCTAAATTTATCCGTAAAATAGAGAATAATAACAATACCTGGCTGATGGGCTGTTGTGAAGATTAGAGATAGGTAGTGCATGGCAAGATCTAGCTAAATGTTAGCTTTTTTTTTTTTTTTGAGACAGAGCCTCAAGCTGTCCCTCGGGTAGAGGGTCATGGCATTATAGCTCACAACAACCTCCAACTCCTGGGCTCAAGCGAGTCTCCTGCCTCTGCCTCCCAAGTAGCTGGGACCACAGGTGCCCGCCACAACGCCCGGCTATTTTTTGGTTGCCGCCGTCATTGTTGTTTGGCGGGCCCGGGCTGGGGATTCGAACCTGCCACCTTAGGTGTACGTGGCTGGTGCCTTAGCAGGTTGAGCTATAGGGGCCGAGCCTAAATGTTAGCTTTTGTTAGTAGCTATGTCTTTCCTTACTAGTGATTCGTCAAGCTTTTGCCTACTGTCTTAGTCCATTTTCTGCTGCTATAACAATACCATATGCTGGGCAATTTATAGTAAACAGAAATTTACTAGACACAGGTTCTGGAGGCTGGGAAGTCTAACAGCAATGATACTGGCACTTGGTAAAGGTTGCCCCAGGACAGGCTCGGCGCCTATAGCTCAACCTGCTAAGGCGCCAGCCACGTACACCTAAGGTGGCGGGTTCGAATCCCCAGCCTGGACCCGCCAAACAACAATGACGGCTGCAACCAAAAAATAGCCGGGCGTTGTGGTGGGCGCCTGTAGTCCCAGCTACTTGGGAGGCAGAGGCAGGAGACTCGCTTGAGCCCAGGAGTTGGAGGTTGCTGTGAGCTGTAATGCCATGGCACTCTACCCAGGGGGACAGCTTGAGGCTCTGTCTCACAAAAAAAAAAAAAAAAAAGGTTGCCCCAGACAGAAGAGCAAAAGGCTGAAGCAAGCACATGAAAAGAGAGAGGAAGATAGAGGAGGTTGGCCCATCTCATCTTTTTCTTCTGGACCCCATTCCTGAGATGGCTAACCCACTCACAAGATAACGGCATTAATCTACTCAGGAAGGCAGAGCTTTCATGCCCTAGTTACCTCTTAAACTTCCCACCTTTTAATACTATAATAATGGCAATTAAATTTCAACACGAGTTTTGAGGGGACATTCAAACTATTGCATGTACATTGGGTCTGGAGAAATGAGGTCATTCTGTGTCAGTGATTCTCAGCTTTGTATGTTGGAATCACCACAAGAGCTTTTGTAGGTCTCAGCCTAGGCAATACCTGTCATGGCCTCTGGGCTTAGGACACAAACATCAGTACTTTGTGAAACTCCCAGGTGATTATAGTGAGCAACTGTGGTTGAGGTCCATTGTAAACCTTGACCCCAATGATGTGGGATTTGAAACCAGAAGCATGGGTTCAAAACCTGGCCTTGCTACTTCTTAGACCAGTGACCTTGAGCAAATTCTTAACTTCTGAGTCTCAGTTTGTTCTCATCTGTACTAACAGGGTGAAGAGGGTCATAGCTATCTCATGGTGGTCCTGCAGAGCACATGGCAAATGTGCAGTTATTCTTGTTTGAATATATAACTGAGCACATTTTTTCTTTTCTTTTCTTTTTTTTTTTGAGACAGAGTCTCACTTTGTCACCCTTGGTAGAGTGCTGTGACATCATTGCTCACAGCAACCTCGAACTCCAGGGCTTAAGTGATTCTCTTGCTTCAGCTTCCCTATAGTAGCTGGTATTATAGGCGCTCGCCACAGCACCTGGCTATTTTTTTTTAAGGGATGAGGTCTCGCTGTGGCTCAGGCTGGTCTTGAACCTGTGAGCTCAGGCAGTCCACCCACCTTGGCCTTCCAAGTTCTGGGATTACAGGCGTGAGCCACTGCACCCGGCCTGAGCACTTTTATTTACATCATTGTGTGGTGGTAACCTTACTTGTCTATTTTTAATTTGCTTTCTATATTGGTGTTAAGTAGATTATATGCTCCTTGGTGCAAAGCCTTAGATTCTTTATAATTCTTTTATGCCCATAACACCTAAGACACAGACAGTCCCTCAGATGTTTAGAACTGGTGTACACCTTAGACCTTCTTACCCACTCTAAGGCATTGAATAATACTTGCTGGTTAATCAGGATGCAGGTGGTGAAGCATATGAAAGAGGAACCAGTGAATCAGTTGGTTATGGCCAGCTTAAGGCTGGGAGTCCCAGTCCTCCTCTCAACTAACAGCCCTTTCTTTCTAGCTTTAGCTTGGGTGCTTGCAGGGGGTAGGAGTGGAAAAGGTTGTTGGGACAATCACATCTTAGGGGTGGGTATCTATTGGTTCTGACCTTCAGCTTAACTTGTGCTTCTTTCCTGGCAGACCCAGTCATGGCAGGTTCAGGCAGAAGTCCACTGTGGGGTAGGCATCTGTTCAGAGCCATCCTGATGGTCCTAGCAGTCCTCGTCCTCTTCCATTCAGCATCAGCCCAGGCCCATCGAGACTTTGCACCACCAGGCCAGCAGAAGAGGGACGCTCCAGTTGATCTGTTGACCCACATAGGTCGGTCTGTGTGGGAGACACTGGATGCCTGGCTTGGGCCAGAGACTATGCACCTGTTGTCAGAGGTAAGGAAGGTAGTCCCTGCCATGATTATGTACCTCGAAGAAACATGAAAGAAGAGATTTAGGTAATGGCCACCTCATTTTGGCTCCACACCTGAATCTGTGTCATAACCCCTAATTCAGAGAGCCCCAAATGCCACAAAAAGAAGGCCTATAGGGCGGCACCTCTGGCTCAGTGAGGAGGGCACCGCCCCCATATACCAAGGAAAGTAGGTTCAAACCCGGCCCTGGCCAAACTGCTACAAAAAAATAGCCAGGTGTTGTGGTGGGTGCCTGTAGTCCTAGCTATGGAGTCCTCCACTAGGGAGGCTGAGGCAAGAGAATTGCCTAAAGTCAGGAGTTGGAAGTTGTTGTTAGCTGTGATGCCATGGCACTCTACCAAGGGCGACAAAATGAGACTCTGTCTCTAAAAAAAAAAGAAGGCCTATAGTACTTGCCTTCTGCCTCCTCATTGTTTGATTCCTACCATAGGGCCTTTTAGCTCCACTCCTTTCTCTGGCTCCTGCCTTTTCTTTGCCAGAAAGGCCAGAAAATGAGCCATCTTTATAAACCATGTCACTTGGTGACTCTAGAGTCTAGTCATCACTGAAAGGATTTGATGATCCCCACATTCGCACACAAGTATACCAACGATTTCCTCCATAGTATCCCAGCAAATCAGTTGAATTAGATCCCAAATGTCCTGGTTTTCAGTTCAGAAAGGAGAAATGGCCTATTATCCATCCTTTGTACTGGAAGGTGGATGTGGAAGGGCCCCTTCAGCCAGGCCCAAGCCCCCAAACCTCTTACTGGGGCCCATCACCACTGGCTGAGAAATAGGTTGGAGACATTCCTACAGTCCTGGCCTGGTCAGTGGTGACCAGGGTTGAAGGAAAGGAGTATCGCTATTTGTGGACTCATCTCACTCCATGATTTTTCTTTTTTTTTTTTTTTTTTTTGAGACAGAGCCTCAATCTGTCCCCCTGGGTAGAGTGCCATGGCATTATAGCTCACAGCAACCTCCAACTCCTGGGCTCAAGCGAGTCTCCTGCCTCAGCCTCCCAAGTAGCTGGGACCACAGGCGCCCGCCACAACGCCCGGCTATTTTTTGGTTGCAGCCGTCATTGTTGTTTGGCGGGTCTAGGCTGGGGATTTGAACCCGCCACCTTAGGTGTACATGGCTGGCGCCTTAGCCGGTTGAGCTATAGGCGCCGAGCCACTCCATGATTTTTCCACAGACCTCCTCCCAGGTGATGTGGGCCATCTCGTCAGCCATCTCTGTGGCCTTCTTTGCTCTGTCTGGGATCACAGCACAGCTGCTAAATGCCTTAGGGCTAGATGGTGAGTGGTGTGGCACTGGATCAGTGGGTGGAGCTTCACTGGTACCTGCCTATTTGGGGGAGGTTATCTTTGTTAGGGTCTAGACTTTTCCCCAAGCTGCTTGACACTTCTCAGGTTCCCCAGCATGAGGGCAGGCTAAGCCAGTTGTTTACATCAGTCATAAGACATTGTGCTGAGCCATGGTATCTCATTTACTTATTACCCACATTACTCATGGCCCAGTGAGGCAGGTAGAATTGTTCCCATTTAATAACTGAAACTGTAGTTCAACAAAGGGAAGTAACCTATGCAAGGTTCCCTAGCCCATAAGAAACAGAACTGAGATTCCAACTCTTTTGAGTCTATGAGAACAGATGATTCCTTTGCAAGGAGGCTGGTACCACCCCCTCTCACTTCTCTGGGTAGCCTGACTCTGTGCCTCTCCCCTCTTCCAGGTGATCACATCACCCAAGGCCTGAAGCTCAGCCCTGGCCAGGTCCAGACCTTCCTGCTGTGGGGAACAGGGGCCCTAGTCATCTACTGGCTGCTGTCCCTGCTCCTTGGCTTGGTCTTGGCCCTGCTGGGGAGGATCCTTGGGGGCCTAAAGATTGTCATCTTTCTAGCCGGCTTTGTGGCTCTGGTGAGGTCAGTGCCTGACCCTTCCACCCGAGCCTTGCTGCTCCTGGCCTTGCTGACTCTCTATGCCTTGCTGAGCCGGCTCACTGGCTCCCGGGCGTCCGGGGCCCAGCTGGAGGCAAAGGTGCGAGGGTTGGAGCGCCAGGTGGAGGAGCTGCGCTGGCGGCAGAGGCGAGCAGCCAAGGGTCCCCGCAGTGTGGAGGAGGAATGAGTTGGATGACCCACCTGTCTTCATTATACCAAAGACCTGAGTTGCTTCAGGGCTTCAGGGCACACAGTCCTCCTGCTGGGCCCCTCCCCTTTTCTTGTCCATCTCTGAACCTTCAGAATCTTGATCCCTGCCTTGGTTCCCAACTAAGAGAAAGCCCATTCCCACTGCTGGCTCTCAGAGCCCTATCTTCTGAGGTTCTCAGTCTGGGGTTTGTTCTAACCCTTTCTCTGTTCCTAGCCTGTCTCTACCAGGTCATGTGGGAGGGGCCTTCCCTCTGGCTCCTGCATCTGCTTTCAGCAAACTCACTGCCATTGCTCACGTGTGACTTAACTAGCTCCCCTCTGCTGTGGCCATAGCTTCCAAGCAATGCTCTTGCTTCCTGTCCGATCCTGCTCCTTGGCCAAGTCTCCCACTCCCTTCCTGTTTTTCCATTCCCTCTGGTCTTGTACTCTCACCAAATTGCAGCCCTCAGAGCATGCTCCTGTTCTCTTCATTGCCCAGCAGTGGGGAAAGGGATGTGGGACCTGACGATAAGGGAGGGAGAAACAGGGTCCCATGAGGACTGTGGGGCTGGAGGGTAGGGTGTTCCTTGAGTTTGTTACAAGTGCCTTAATCAGCCAGCAGGGCCCTCTGCTTACCTGCTGCCATAATATATGTAGAAAAGTGTACCGTGGCTGCTTTGTATGAGAAAAGAGCAGTTGCTCTCAGAATTGGATTCCCCTTCAGCCAAAGCAAAAGATGGGTGGTTCTTTGTAGGCTTGTGCCTCCAAGTAGGACCCTGCAGTGGTAATCAGATTCCTTGAGGGGATTTCAGAGACCTAAAGGAGGAAGGAGGACCCGCCTCCTTGTCTGCACAGCTGCATGTGGTTCTCTACCCCATCCCTCCATCCCTGCCACTGAGGAGGAACTGATCAGTGCCCACCCCAGTGTCCTGGAAAGAACACAAGGAGCCTCTTTCCCTTCAGGTGCTCTGTAGGGAGCAGGGTGAGCTGAGCTGCCAGCTGTCCCTCTCCACCCAGTTACCCCTTCTTGGGGGGCTTTTATGGAAGTGGGTGTCCTCTGCTAGGCCTGGCACAGCACATGATGGGAAGAATAAATGCCCAATTCTTACTGTTAAGATTTGATGTGGAACACAGCTGCCATGATAATATATTTTTATCAGCGCTTGTTTGGTTTTAAATAAAGTGCACGCTATTTTATTATCTTGTACTGAATAAAATGTATTTACTCAAAAGTCTAGATTTCTTTGATGTCTTCCTCTACTGCTAAACCAGGTTCCTCTCTGTTCTTTGCCTACCTGACTTCTCCCAGCAGGGGCAGTGTGAAGCTGGACAGGGGGAGGAAGCCAAAAAGGCTGGCTGGTACCAGGTACCCTTCCCTCCAGGGGCTGAGAAATGAGGGAGCCAAGCCCTGGTACAACAGACTTCCAGGCACTGGCCAACACTGTTGGAATAATGTGTGTGTGTGTGTTGGGATGGGGCAATGCCCCTTCCCTGCATTGTGCTGGGGTGTATTACAAGTGGGTAGGCAGCCTGGAGAAGACTTTCCTACCCTCCTCCCCACCCAATGTGAGGAGTTTCCTGCACTAAGGTTCCAACTGGGATGTAGGTTGAAACAGTTTGCAGAAGGGCCCAGGCTTGGCTTCCTATTAAGCTGCCCAGGGGATACAAGTGCATGGCCAGAGGTTTGGACCTCTCCCAGCACCATCGGCAGGTGGTGCTGGGGCCTGGGTGCGGGGCCCACAGCCCCAAGCAGGCCAGTCCTAGGGAGTGTGGGCTACCCTCACCCTTCATAGGCCCACAGGCAGCCTCTCCCTGGGGTGGGGCTGGGCATGAAACTGGAGCTGCCTGCACATGGAACCTTTCCTCCACAAGGGTGGCCCAGGGCTCTGTTAGGGCTGGCCAAAGTGGTTGGCATCTGCGTTCATTTGGCCCCCTCTCTCCCTTTTTGCCCCTGCTGCTCTGTTCCCATTTGTCCCTGGATTCTGGTTTTGATTTAGGTGTCAGATACCTTGACAGGTGAAATTCTTAAGTGAGGTGAGGCAGAGGAAGTGGCTTTTTCCCTCCTTGGTCGGGAGCGTCTAAGAGGGAGCAGAACAGAACACGTGGTGTCCCTCTGGCAGAGATAGGCCAGTGTCCTGCTGTGGTCTCCTGGGAAGTGCCTCCTTCCCGACTTCAGGCACTGGGGCGTTCCAGGTTTCGGGATCTGGAGGGCACTAGGACCCGGCGGGACGGAGGGGGCAGCCCCTGCGCAGCGATTCGCTCCCTCCCACCCCACTGCTCCCGCTCCATTGTCTGGGAACTGCAGCCGCCGGGCGGGCGGCGGCGACTCAGCCGGCCGGGTCCGGCTGGCGCGGAGTGGGCGCGGGAGATGCCAAGCCAGAGCGCGGCCACCTGAGCCGCCCGCCTCGTCCCCGGCTTCCGTGGGAAGGATGTGCGCCTGGATGGCGGGGCGCGCAAAAGCCGCCCCCCGGGGGCCCTGCGGCCCCTGGCTCTGCCTCCTGGTGGCCCTCGCCCTGGACGTCGTGAGAGGTCAGCGGGAGGGGAGGGGCGGGGCGAGGGGCGGTCGGGCCGGCCGGAGGCCGGGCGCAAGGGATGCCCGGGAGCCGTAAACCTTTGGGTTCTCGCACTAAATCCTGAGCTGGGTCTCCCAGCCGCGTGCCCTGAGGGTCGGAGAGGTCTTGTCCCCGGAAACCTCCACCTCCCGCCTGCCTCTATGGTTTCTTTCACCTTGCTCTACCTAGCAACTCCTTCTGAACCCTGGACCAGCCGGGCGCAGAGGCTCTGCCCGCATCCTCTCCGCGGTCCCGCACCTCTGCGAGTGTCCCCTCAACCGGGACATCTAACCCGGCTGCCCCTGTCCCAGGCGCACCAGCTAGCGTCACTGCCGCTCTCTAATCTGCGATATATAGAGCTACACTCTCGGGGCTCCCAGGCACCCCCTACAACCAAGCCACCTACCGTGGGAGTGGAAAGCTGCTTCTTTGCCTGGGACCTGCGAGATATGCAGCCGCCCTCCTCTGCCCTAGGGCTCTCTGACCTTGGCGTCTCCAGGGATGGCCCCATCCTTGCCTTCCTGAGTCCCTGTGAGGCTCCGTCTCTGCGGGAAGGGGCAGAAGCTTCCCTGTGCCTTGGGGAGGGGGTCTGACTGCCTTTGGCATGGGCTGGGGAGCCGAGCTGTGGTTGCAGAGTGGATGATGCCGCAGAAGAGTGGATATAGTGAGGCACGCTTTACTCAGAGAGAGATTGAGAGAGAGCGGAGCTCCCAGAAATGGGAGTCCGTGGGAGTCCAGCTAAGAGCATCTTGCAATTATGGTGGCAAATGGAGTAGGAGGAGGACCAGAGGCTAGGGGCTCCCCCGGGAGCAGAACTCTTTCACCTGTTAACTTGGGGCTGTGGTGGGGGGAGGAGGCAGGGGCACTTTCTCAGACATTTGCATTTTTGGTGGGGAGGGCAGGAAGGAGGTTGAAACCAATTCCCCCACTCTACCCCTGTCCAGCTATGGGGCTGCTTTCAGCCACCTGCGTCCCACCCCGAGGGACCCGGTGGGAGCCCTAATAACCCCTTTCCACAGAGAGGAGGAAAGCTTCCTCACATCCATTATGCAGTAGCAGTAATCCCTCCTCCAGACAGGCTCCACAGTTTACAAAGCCCTCCCCAGTCCACAATGTCACTAAATTCCACTGCCCCTTCTAAAGTTGAGGAAACTGCGGCTCCAAGATGTTAATGACTGACCCAAGCTGGCCTTGGGGCAGAGTTAGGACTTAAACTCAGGTTTCCAGGCTCCCAGGAAGTCCTCTGCAGTAAGAGCTTCCCAGCTTGGGGGAATTCCAGGATGAGTAAGACAGGGCCCCAGGTTAATAGGAAGATAACTACTCCAGAGGAGGGAACCAGGGTTGCAAAAGACTAAGGTGAAGGAGACTGGTGGGAAGTCAATAACCAAGGAAGGCTTCCTAGAGAAGGAGACAATTCTTCCTCCTTCTGGGGCAATTCATTCTTGGCCTTGAAGGTGGAAGGAGGCACCATGGGGCAGAGGAGGGGACACATAGTCCTGGGAGTAAAGTGGAGAGGGGGCATTGTTGCAGAGTAGTGTGGAGGGTGAGAGGGGCAATGGAGAGGCAGGGTGGTCTAGTGGTTAATGCCTGGCACTCATCCTGGCTCCCCTACTCTCCAGCTGTGGGCCCACAAGTAAGATCCTTGACCTCTCTGACTCATTTCCTATGTCCACAACATGGAATTTATAGTAAAAGAACCTGGTTTGCAGAGTTATTATGAAGACTGAGCGAATATACACACAATGTTTAAACTAGTACCTGCATATAGTTAGTGTTCAAAACATGTTAATTATTTTCTTTACTGGCTAATACTTGGTACAAACCAATATGACCTTAGTGGTTCTTTGTCTTTCTGGGAACTGAATATTTTGACTGTCTCCCTCCTAATCTCATGCCCCCCCCACCCCCCACCCCTCCATCGTGGCTACTGTGAAGCACACAAGTAGCTTCACAGACCTCCTTAGAATCCCTCCTATCCCTTTCTTGCACTCCAGCACCCAGTCAGTGCAGAGAAAAAGGGAGCAAGCTTGGAAAGATGGTGTGGGTTGCCATAGCAATGATGAGGGAGAGTAGATGCCCAGCCAAGTCTGGCCTAGGACCCAGGGGCAGAGAAAGGGTCTCTGCTTTGTATAAAGCTTACCTTGTCACCATCTTTTACTGAATAGGACCCATCTGACTAGAGTCATACCCCAGAAATGTGTTGATGTCAGAGACAAGAAGGTAGAGGGCAGGGATGGGAGAGGGAAGACATTGAGAAGGCTGTGCTGCAAAGAAGGCCATGTCTGTAGAAGGATTGGCTGCTGTGAGGCTGGCATTCAGTTCTAGAATCAGATTCAAATCCCGGCTCTGCTGCGAGTTACCTGTGTGAGGCTTTTTGAGCCTTGGTTAATCTCATCTGTGAAATGGGGAGATTCTTCCCACATCCTAGAGACATGGGACATTTACAGACCTTTTCTCCCTCTGTTGCCCATCACCACTGTGCCCCATGGTGAAGCTTAATTCAGTTCCTGCCATCTCTGGAGCTGTCTCCATCTCTACCCCTTATCCCTCTTCAGTGGAATGTGGCCAGAACCCCCTGGACCTCGTGTACTTACCAGCAGCCCTGGAGCTCCTGGATGCCCCTGAACACTTCCGTGTGCAGCAGGTGGGCCATTACCCGCCTGCCAACTCCTCTCTGGGCTCCCGAACTGAGACGTTTCTGCTCCTGCAGCCCTGGCCCAGGGCCCAGCCACTTCTCCGGGCCTCCTACCCACCTTTTGCCATTCAGCAGGTAAGAAGGGGACACCAGGGACCCCCCAGGCTAACAGGACTCAGTGCCTGAGGTCTGCCGTGTGTGGCACAGGAGCCTTCCCCAGCCCCAACTGTGCTCCCTGTTTTCCAGAAGGGAAAACAGACTGGGATCAGAAATCTGGTATCCCATCCTCCCAGATCTTGCCTTCCCCTACCTCCTGCTTTCTCAAGCCTCTTCATTCTCCCTCCAGGTGGTCCCTCCTCAGGTCACTGAACCCCACCAACGGCCAGTCCCATGGGACGTGAGGGCCATCTCGGTGGAAGCAGCCGTGACTCCAGCAGAGCCTCATGCTCGGGTCCTCTTCCACCTCAAAGGGCAAGATTGGCCTCCAGGGCCTGGCAGCCTGCCCTGTGCTCGTCTGCACGCCACACACCCTGCCGGCACTGCTCACGGAGCTTGCCATTTCCAGGTGTGTGGGTGGGCCCTGCTGAGGTTGCCCCTGCTGCTACTGCTGCTGTGCCAGCCAGAGGGTGGTCCGGTGGGGGAGGAGAAGTCACAGGCCTCCTGACTCCATTCCTGATCCACTAGCTTTTACTGCTACAAAAAGTTCCTTAGGGCCCCATAAAGAATTTAGCCAACCCTATATGACTTGGGTGACTTGATCTTTCTGACACTTAGTTTCCTCATCTGTAGAATAGGATAATAACACTTCCTACTATGGAGTTGGGAGTAAGGAACAAATGAGATGAGGCAAGAATAGCTTACATCAGAGTAATCACTCAGCAAGTGTTTTTGCACTGTTGTTAGTATTACTCCCATCATTGCTGTTTCCACTTCTTTCAAGTCTAGCATAGGAATCCTGTGGGGAGAGCTTTAGGGTGCTGAGAAGAAGACTGAGTTCTAACCTGCGTCATGGTTAGGATGAGGTGCTGGAGTCAGTTCACCAGGGCATGAGACTTTTCCCAAAGGCAGAAGAGTGGTCTACAGATGTGTTCTGAACCCTAGACATGGTTTCAAGCCCAGCCACGTTGCTGGTTTGCTGTGTCACCTGGAATAGTTCTCTGGCCCATATTGCCCCTCCTCACACCCCCGTTTTTTTTTTTTTACCCTCTCTTTTCTGCTGGCCCATTTATTTTTATTTTTTTTTTGAAAACTTAAAAATTCGAAAATATGGAATGCTTCACAAATTTGTGTGTCATCCTTGCACAGGGGCCATGCTAATTTATCTGTTTTTTTCCAATTATAATATATGTGCTACTGAAGCGAGCACTAGCCTGTTTATTAATGGACCCTTCCAGCTCTGGGTTTCTTGCTATGGGTGCTGGGAATCCTTTACCTCCCCCTAGCCCCCATATATCCCACCTCCTGTGCCAACCATAGCCATTGTGTGTTCACAGCCATCCTTGGGCGCCTGTGTGGTGGAGCTAGCGTTCCCATCACACTGGTTCTCACCGGGCTCCACCACGAGGGCTGAGCTGGCCTACACACTGGAGCCTGCAGCTGAGGGCCCTGGGGGCTGTGGCCCCAGGGGGGAAGAGGACCCCCAGGAGCAGGCCCTCCCAGTGGGTGGTGTGGAACTGCGACCGGCAGACCCCCCGCAGTACCAAGAGGTACCTCTGGATGAGGCTGTGACTCTGCGGGTGCCTGACGTGCCAGTGCGGCCCGGCCAGGTGTTCAGTGCCACCCTTCTGCTGCGGCACAACTTCACAGCCAGCCTCCTGACCCTGCGGTGAGCACTGTGCCCCTGGGCGTGGGTGGGGGTGGAAGCCTTTGCAGAAAGACTGTGGGCAGGTGCCTGCTCTTCTTGGGGTCTTTGCTGGAATTCTTGACTTCTGCAAAACATGGGTCCTCCAAACCCCCTCCAGGCAAAGAGGTGTGATTGCCCCGGCAGGACCTTATGATGGACACAGCCCTGAATTTAGAATCAGAAGTAGAAAGAAGCCTCCTTCTCCCTGGCACCACCCAGAGATTTCTTTGTCTAATAGGGCTAACAATGCCCACTTTACGGGGCAGCTGCAAGATTCCAGGGAGAGCAACCAGGAAATGGCTTGGAAACTGGAAAATGTGGTGCCTAGGGGTGGGCTATTAGGCTATTACTCCACTGCCCCAAAGAGGGATATGTCACATTCACCTGCATGTTCTCTCTGCTTTCCACCCTCGCGGCAGGCTCCTACCTTTTGGACAGAGCACTTTCCTCTCCATAGGAAGGCTCATATTCTTTGTGTCCTTTTGTGCAGAAAATTCCCCCAAAGTAGCCCCCCACCTACCCAAAGCAGCTGACAAGGATTTGCAGAATGTGACTTGCCTCTTTCATTTGTGCGTTTCTGCATGTCCCATCTCTATATCCCTCTGTCTCTCATGCCCTCCAGTGCTCACTCACATGCTCATTAAATTCTCCATTCTGGAGATCTAGACATGAGCAAAGCCCAGTCCCTATCTGGCAGTGATGGGCCCTCAGTGTTAGGGAAGGGCGTGAGCTAGATTAAAAGGGTATATATGCTCTGATGAAGTTTTAAAATGCTGCAGGAGCTTGGGCCAGAGGGTGCAGTAAGGGGGAAATTCATCCTGCCACTGCAAAAGCTCTCAAAGGAAATAGTATTCAAGTCATTGGAAACTTAAAGAATTGACAGGTACAGAAAGGAAAGGTGGACCAGGCTGAAGGCACAGCCTGGGCAAAGGCTTATAACCGTGCATGGGCACTGTGTACACAGGGAAGAACTGTGGTAGAGCTGAAGCAGACCCCCAGGATCCAGTCCACAGTTCAGTATCCACTTTGCCAAAATGGACCTATAACCTCTCCTTCAGGATCAAGGTAAAGAAAGGGCTGCATGTGACAGCTGCCCGCCCAGCCCAGCCCACCCTCTGGACTGTCAAGCTGGACCGCTTCAAGGGCTCTAAGCACCATACCACCCTTATCACCTGCCACCACACTGGGCTCACAGCACCAGACTCCAGGTGGGTAGCTCCCCTCTCCAGGGAGGCAGAGGAGGAGGGCTGGTCCTAGAATGCTAGTGGGTACATTTGGGGGCCCAAGAGAATGGAGCTGCCATCCTGCCCCTAGACCCCTGTGTGAACAGGCACAGTGCAGACTTTTTCAAGAAGGCAGTACAAAGCAGGTATATACTTTATTCATTCATTCATTCATTCAGCCACTATTTGGACAGATCCAGCCACCATGCCAGGCACAGCAGGTGTCCATGAATTTTATCCCAGGTCTTGCCAACCTATCCTGTCCACCCAGTTAAAGGTCTCCCAGCTACTACCCATCCCCTGCCTCTACCAACCAGGGCCCTTCTTAGACCTTTAATATTCCTCCCCCAAACCCAACTGCAGTTCTGAACACATAACGATCTCTTCTTATTTGCATGCTAACCCAGGGCTAAGGTCATGGACTTTGTAGACCCTGTTTGAATCCTGGTTCTGACACTTTCTAGATGAATAACCTTGGGCAAGCCAGTTAATGTCCCCCCTCCCCCAAGCCTCAGTTTCCTCACTTATAAAATAGGGATAATAATGTATCCTTGAGGGTTTGTGAAAGTAAGATACTGCTTATTAAGCACCAGGGACAGTTTCCAGCATTTAGGTTTTTGTTTGATACAAGGAAGCTCTGAGGTCCTGGAAGTGAATCTCCCTCCCTGGTGGAAGCGACTGCAATGCTTTAGGCCACCTCTTTGGCTATGGAAAGCAGTGATCTTAGCGGAGGTGACCCAGGCAGGCAGGGGCCAGCAAACCTACTGGGAGGTGGTAAAATGGCTGCAAAGATCTTGGAGAGACTGAGAGTGGGCTCTGGAGCCAAGATGGGTGGCTTTAGATCCTGACCCTGCCACTTTTTTGCCATGTTGTCTTAGGTGAGTAATGTAACCTCTAAACCTCAGGTTCCTCATGTGGAAAGTGGAGACAGTCACACCTTATGAATGTGGGAAGTGCTTAGGATGTGCCTGAAACTAGCAAGCACCCCCTTTCTCTCTCTTCTGGCCAACAGTCCCCTTGAACTGTCTGAGTTCCTGTGGGTGGATTTTGTGGTGGAAAATGGCACTGGTGGTGGTGTGGCAGTCACTCGCCCTGTCACGTGGCAACTGGAGTACCCAGGTCAGGCCCCTGAAGCAGAGAAAGATAAAATGGTGTGGGAAATCCTGGTGTCGGAGCGGGACATTCGAGCCCTCATCCCATTGGCTAAGGTAAGGGGACCTCCATCTCTGCCCCACCAGGCAGGGGACTGGGTCCTGGGTGTCTGGGAGGTGAAGGGTTTGTGGCTGACCTCTTCCTCCACCTCCAGGCTGAGGAGCTGGTGAATACAGCACCATTGACTGGAGTGCCCCAGCATGTCCCTGTGCGTCTTGTCACCGTGGACAGTGGGGGTGTACTGGTAGAGGTGACAGAGCACATTGGCTGTGAGTCGGCCAACACACAGGTCCTGCAGGTGAGTGGCAGGTGCCTACCTCGTGTGGGTACACGCTTATGTAGACAGTTACGCATGCATGGCTTTCCCCCTCCCCTATGTGTGTCCCTGAGCGAACAGCTTCTTTTGTTTTTTTTCTTTGAGACAGTCTCACTATGTCACCCTTGGTAGAGTGCTGTGTCATTACAGCTCACGGCTACCTCAAATTCTTGGGCTAAAGCAATTCTCTTGCCTCAGCCTCCCAAGTAGCTGGGACTACAGGTGCCTGCCTTAATGCCCAGCTATTTTTTAATTTGTTTTATTGTAGTTGTCTTTGTTGTTTAGCAGGTCAGGTTCAAACCCACCAGCCCGTGTATGTGACGGGCACCCTAACCACTGAGCTTTGGCCACTGAACCCGAACAGCTTCTTCTTCAGACTAGAAACCTCAGGGAGGGAACCACAGCTTCAAATCCTTTTGTCCCAGCCCCATCTCCAGAGTACAGTGGGAGCTATGAAACCCCAACAGCCCCCACCTTGGGCACTTTCACGTTCGTCATTGCATTGGCAAATGAGCTGGCTGGGGTGGCTTAAAAGCATGTATTCTGTGATGAGGAAGTTTTAATTTAATATACATCTTGGTTGTTAATTAGTGTGTGATCACAGGCAAGTCTGTTAGCCTTGCTCAGCCTCAGTTTCCTAAACTTTAAAATGAGAGTAGACCTTTGGATTACTGTAAGAATTAAAAGCACTTAAGGCAGTATCCAGTAGATAGCAGGAGCTGAAACAGCAGCAGCTACTGCTGCTATTATAATATGATAATTATATAATGTTAAAAATAATTATTTTTGGACACTGTGAGGTAAAAAAAGGGGGCAGAGAAACTTTCTCCATCTTCAAGTTCTAAGAAGGGAAGTGTGGATCCTTTACACAACTCCTAACAAGCTGAATGGAGATGATATATTTTGCCACTTGTGGCAGTTCCCTGCTCACACATATGTTTTGGGGTGGGTATGTCTGCCTTGCCTACCAACTTTGCCTCTAGCTATAGCTGGTTGCCAGGTGGCTCCAGTACCAGCATAAATGAGGAACCAGAGTTGTGGGTTCAAATCCCTGCTCCTCCAGCAGGAAGGCACTGTTGTATATCCATAGCCAGTTTCCCCAACTGCCCCCAGGGGAACTCAAGGAATGGCCCAGTTCCTCCATGGGGAGTGCAACCTGGATGCACAGCAAAATCTTAAACTAAGGACAGGGCTTAACTAACAAGCCTACTATCACGTGCATCACAGTGAAACATAGGACTGAATTTCAGACAGGTGTGGGTTGGGTCAGGGCTGCCCTCCCTGGCCCACACTTATCTTCTGGCTTATCCCCCCACCCCTACCCCCCCACTCCCTACCCTCTGCCCTGCCACAGGTATCTGAGGCTTGTGATGCCGTGTTCGTGGCTGGCAAGGAGACCCGCGGTGCTCAGGGGGTGCGGGTGGACTTCTGGTGGCGCCGGCTCCGAGCTTCGCTGCGGCTGACCGTGTGGGCCCCACTGCTACCCCTTCGCATTGAACTGACTGATACCACCCTGGAGCAGGTCCGCGGCTGGAAGGTGCCTGGTCCTGCTGAAGGGTGAGTTGAGGCCTGAGGGAGCTGGCAGACTTTAGCAAAGCCAGACTGGGACTGAGAGGGGCACAGAGGACACAGACACAGGCCCAAGCTGGAGGTCTGAAAAGCTGCCCAGGTGCTTGCAGTTCCTTTGGCCCGTCCCTGCCATTGACCACACAGCTTCTGACCCCTCCACACTCCAGCTTCTCCTGCCCTGCTTCACCTCCCTCCACAGTACCAGCCACTTCTAATCTGCTATGTCATGTTCTGGTTAATCCTGCTTGTTAATCTGCTGACCCTTTCTGCTTCTAGCCTGAGAATGAAAGTCCCTTGAAGTGGGGTCTGTCCTGGTCACTGCTGTGTTCCCAAAGCCAGAGCTTTACAGAGCTCAGTAAATATTGAATACCTCCTTGAGGGGGCTCACCAGAAGTGTAGGTGAGGCCACTCAGGCCTTTAGAATCTAGCTCCCAGGCTCTCTGGAGAGTGAGCCCCCTCTCCCCTAAGGGAGGGGTTCTATTAGCATTCAGTGGGAGCAACAGACCAATTGGGATCCAGGTGGAAGAGCCTGACTGCAAGCAAGGTGGGGGTGGCAGCTGAGTTTTAAGAACTGGACCCGGCTGGGCACCTGTGGCTCAAGTGGCTAAGGCGCCAGCCACATACAGCTAAGGTGGCGGGTTCGAATCCCCAGCCCGGGCCCACCAAACAACAATGATGGCTGCAACCAAAAAATGGCCAGGCGTTGTGGCGGGCGCCTGTGGTCCCAGCTACTTGGGAGGCTGAGGCAAGAGAATCGCTTAAGCCCAGGAGTTTGAGGTTGCTGTGAGCTGTGATGCCATAGCACTCGACCCAGGGTGATAGCTTGAGGCTCTGTCTCAAAAAACAAAAACAAAAACAAAAACAAACAAAAAAGAACTGGACCCTCCTAGGAGCAGCGGAGAACTCCAGGAGTGAGGGGAGTTGTGGGGGGGTAATGGGTGGGGCTGGGTGGTTTCCAGAGGCGGGGCTTCGGCCGGTTATGGGGCGGAGCCCTCGCTGACACCCCGCCCCGCAGGCCCGCGGAGCCGGAGTCAGAGGCCACGGAGGAGGAGCGGCGCGCCCGTGGCTGTCGCCTGCAGTACCAGCGAGCCGGCGTGCGCTTCCTCGTCCCCTTCGCGGCCCACCCGCTGGACGGTGGCCGCCGCCTCACCCACTTGCTCGGTCCTGACTGGCTGCTAGACGTGTCCCACCTTGTGGCGCCGCACGCCCATGTGCTGGACCCGCGCATAGCCTCGCTGGAGGGAGGCCACGTCTTGGTGGGCCGGGAGCCTGGTGTCACCTCTATTGAGGTGAGCCAGCGTGGCGGTGGGCGCTGGGGAGCAGACTCCCGGGGAAGAGTGTAGGTGGCCCCTATTATGGTTACGGGCAGGAGTGAGGAGTGTAGGTGTCCAGGGTGTATCTGGCGAGAGAGATGTGCAGTCCAGGCATGAGCACAGCAGGACTGGGTGAGAATGGAGTGGTTGTGTATGGGAAAAGTCCTCTAGTATGAAGCGCTGGGGTGTGGGTACCTGGGGCCCAGCTCTGAAGGGAGGAAGGAGGGAATGGTCTTGTGGGATTAGGGTTCTGGTACGTATAGGGGGTGTAGTTGGGGTGCAAAGGATGGAGAGCAGCCTGTGAGGATGCTGGGAGCAGAAGACATACCCCTTTGGGTGGCTGACTGTATACGAGGCCCCCACCTCCAGCTTCTTCCCACCCCCAGGTGCGTTCTCCGCTGTCTGACTCCATTCTGGGGGAGCAGGCACTGGCTGTGACGGACGACAAGGTCTCAGTGTTGGAGCTGCGAGTCCAGCCAGTGATTGGCATCTCACTGGCCCTGAGCCGGGGCACTGCCCACCCTGGGGAGGTCACAGCCACATGCTGGGCACCATCAGCCCTTCCCACCCCAAAGCAGGTGACAGCTGGTCAATGTCTCTAGGTGGGGGCTGATGGCAGAGGGGAATGGGAAGAAGGGAGCCCTGCTACCTCAACCCCTTACCTTAGGGTTTTCAGAGTGTGGACTGACTTCCCTGTGAGGTAGTGAGCTCTCTGTGGCTGGAGGTAATCAAGCAGTGGCTGGAATGTGGCAGTGGGAGGTTGGTTAGATGGCTCTGAGGACCATCCTGATGTCAGACCCCGGGGCCAAGTGGCAGACAGGTGATTGACACACGTCCCCTCTCTCCCTGTGTTTTGTCCATCTGCCTGTGTCTCTGTTTTCTCTCTGGTCTCTCCTCCATGTGGCCTGTCTCTGTGGGAGTGGTCTCTGTGCGCATGCGTGCTTGCCCTCGCGTGTCTCTGCCTGTGTCCGTGTGCCCTACAGGAGGTGGCCCTCTCCCTGTGGCTGTCTTTCTCAGACCACACCCTGGCCCCTGCTGAGCTCTACAACCGTCGCGACCTGGGACTGTCTGTCTCAGCCGAGGAGCCTGGTGCCATCTTGCCAGCTGAGGAACAGGGAGCCCAGCTTGGGGTGGTGGTGAGTGGGGCGGGTGCTGAGGGGCTGCCCCTGCACGTGGCTCTGCACCCACCCGAGCCCTGCCGCCGGGGCCGCCACCGTGTGCCCCTGGCATCTGGCACTGCTTGGCTGGGGCTGCCCCCTGCCCCTACCCCAGCTCCTGACCTCCCATCCAGCCCTGTCCAGAACCTGCCAGCCACAGAAGCCAGCACAGGTGGTGAGCGGCAGGTGGCAGGCAATACGGGGAGCAACGTGGGTGTGAGGGGTAAGTTTGAACGGGCTGAGGAAGAGGAAGCCAGGCAGGATGAGGCAGAAGCCAGGGAGGAAGAAGAAGAGGAGGAAGAGGAGGAGATGGTCCCTGCCCCTCAGCGTGTCACTGACCTAGAGCTGGGCATGTATGCCCTGCTAGGAATCTTCTGTGTGGCCATCCTCATCTTCCTGGTGAATGCTGTGGTCTTCGTGCTGCGCTATCAGCGCAAAGAACCTCCTGAGAGTGCCCCTGACCCCTCCTCCCCCCAGCCCCACAACTGGGTCTGGCTAGGCACTGACCAGGAGGAACTGAGCCGCCAGCTGGACCGGCGGTCCCCTGGCCTGCCCAAGGGAGAAGGGGGCTGCCCCTGTGAGAGTGGGGGAGCAGAGGAGGCCCCAACCCTGGCCCCTGGCACTCCTGGGGCCACTGCCAGCTCCTCAAGCACCCTAGCCCGAAAGGAAGCTGGGGGGCGGCGGAAGCGTGTAGAGTTTGTGACGTTTGCACCAGCCCCTCCAGCCCAGCTGCCGGAGGAGCCCGTAGGGGGCCCTGCCGTGCAGTCCATCCTGGTGGCAGGTGAGGAGGACATCCGCTGGGTGTGTGAAGACATGGGGCTGAAGGACCCTGAAGAGCTTCGTAACTACATGGAGAGAATTCGGGGTAGCTCCTGACCCTCCCCAGCTCACCTGGCCCAGCAAGGATGGGGGTCCCATCGAGCCTTTAGCCTGCCCTTCTGCTGGTCCTCTGGTGCTTGTTATCCAAGTCCCCTGCCTGGTTTTCTGCAAGGACTCCCATCCAGGCCCCCCTGCCCTGCCCCTTGTCATGGACCATAGTCATGAAGAAGGGCGTATGCCCCTTATTTATGGGAATCGTTTCATTCTAATTGTGGGTACAGAATAAACTGAGAAGGAAACCACAGCTGGGACAGCTGCTGTCTTGTGTTCCTGGAAAGAAGCAAGGGGGTGCGACAGGATGTATTCAGCCCCTGTCCCTGCTCGGACGGCTGTGGGAGGCTGGGCCCTGAGCTGTCTTCTCATAGCGACCAGCAATCCAGACAAATAGGAGGGCTGTGACGGCCTGAATGCCAGCCAGCAGGAAGAAGTAGAGGTCCATCCGGCAATTATTGATGTTCCCTGGAGAAAGATGGGTTGGCACTGAGTCAGGATAGAGATCCACTGTCTTCCACTCTCTTCCTAGTCATGCCCTGGCCCTGGGGCTGGCAGCTGAGGCCATGTGGGCAGTGGGTGGGGATGTGAAGGCACTGGGTAGATATCCCTCCTGTGTCTGCCTCCCTGAGAGTCTCCTGGGGTAGCTATAATTCCTGTTTAGCTACCTCTTCATGAGGGGGCTTGAAACTCAAATACCATGAGAAAGGTTACCCTTCAGCCAGAATGGCAACATTCCAGAAGCACCCCACTGAGTTCACTGCTTCTTTTTTGACAGCTGGGAAAACTGAGGCCCAAGGAGGAGAGGCCATGCTGTGTGTGACTGGCCAAGTCTGGGCTAGAACCCCATTATCCTGAGTGCAGCCCGCTACTGCCTTCTGCCTAAAGTCACAATGCTTAGCAGTTGCCACCTCCTTTCCAGGCCTCCCTCCACCTGTGTTCCACACCCTGGGAGAGCTCCACACTCACCGAAGTCCTCAGGGCAGTGTAGCCAGCCCCCTGGCAAGGACAGAAGTGCCACGAGGCTGGAGCCCAACAGTGAGCCCACACCAGACAGGCAGAAGAAGATGCCCATGAGGGCACCCTGCATGGAGCGAGGGGCCTCTGAATAGGCAAACTCCAGGCCTGTGGAGAATGAAGTGAGAGGGAAGTGGGAGGTCTACAGAGGCTAGCAGTGGAGCAGCCAGGCTGGGCCATGCCCCCTGCCCCCACTCAGCCACCCTCCAGGCTTCCTGGATAATGGTCAGCTCCAGGCTGTGACCACACCTCACACCAGTGACACCTCCCCTTCTGCCCTGCTCATCACCTCCCGGCTAAGCCCCTCCACCTGGACACTCCCATGTTGCCTCAAGAGCTCTGGCTCCCCTCCCCCACTCCTCCTGGGCTTTTCATTTCAGTAATGGAACCTCCAAACCGGCACCACTGTCAATCTCCCTCTGTCCCACACCCTCTGCTCACCTGCATCGTCATCACCAAATCATTTTGATTCAGCCTCTAAAATCTCTTCTAAATGTAGGTTCTCCTCTCTATCTCCCTTAGTCACTAACCCTCGTCACTTCCTGACCAGGCCGTGCAAATGTCTCTTAACTGTCCTGACTTCCATTCTCCTCACACAACCAGATGGGTCTGCTAAAGAATCTGTTGGGGTCTTTTCCTTGCCAAAACTCCTTGGAGACTTGAGGTGGGGGGTGCTGTTGTCCTTGGGAGAAATTCCAAGGTCCAGGCTCAGCCCAGAAGGTTCTACAAGACCTCCATCCCCTACCCCACCCCCACCACCTCATGCTTCCCATTAGGACAGGGTCTTTGCTTATGCTATGCTTATGCTGTTCCCCCTGCCCATAAGGTCCCTCTGTGGTCCCTTCCCCAGCATTCCACTGTTTTATTATTTGTACAACTATCTCCCCTCAATTTATTTTTATGTTCCACCCAGCCTAGTCCTGGGCCCACAGCAAGAAAGTACTTGTCCCTCTGCAAGGACACAAACTGCTGTGAGAGAGACAGAGATGAACAAAGGGCAGGAAAGGAGGACGGCCTCTGCCCTGGGGCTCTGGTATTGCCGCCTGGAATTGATGGGGAAATAGGGATTCACCTTCAATCTAAGGTGGAAGGAAACAGCAACTCCAAAGGCACAGAGGATGGCGGACATGGCCCCTGAGGAGTACCTGGAAAGTTGGTGGGGCAAGTGCCTTGCTCACCTCCAGATCCCCAGCACTTCTCAAAGTGGCTGGCATGAACCAAGTTCTAATAAATCCCCAGTGAGTAAATGCAACCTTGCTCAGGAAACACAACCTCTCCAACCAGATAAGCTCTGGAGGCTACACGCATGGGCCCCCTGACTTGGAGGCACCACCATCACTGGGGAAAGGATCCAGGGTACCTGGGATGCTCGCAAAAATCTCACTGATCCCAATGAGTAGATACTGAGGGATCTGCCACCAGATGGACAGTGGTGCTGCGTAGTACAGGTCCTTCCCAATCTGCTGGGACACAGTTTCGTTGTGGTGGATGTAGTGTAAACGCTCCATCTCCAGGACTCCTGGTGGGGGAGCAGAGGGAGACGATAAGACCCACCCTAGGCACCACAAAGAGAGCTTGGTATGTGGTGAAAACACATTAAGTAGCCAATGACTGACTATACAACAGGTAAGGAAATACTGGCCCAGGGGATGGGGAGTCAAGATTTGACTCTCAACGTCTCCCTTTTTGCCTTGGCTACTGGGAAGCTCACAGCTAGGTTTTTACCCAGTAACAACTCTCATTAGTGGAGGACTTGTTATTTACTAGGCACTTAAATATGCATTCTTGCAGATGAAAGAGGTGAAACTTAGGTTAAGTAACTAGCCAGCCCACAGTCACATGGCTAATAAGTAGGCAGGGATGGATTTGAGCCCCAGTATGTCTGGTTTCAAATCTGGCCTACTTTCTATGATATCATATGATTTCTCTACTATAGCCTCAAGTATTGCTATAGTGTTTCTAACCTACCTTTCAAGTTTTGACTATTTTATCTCCTTCCCTTTTGTTGCTTGGAAAATAGCTGTGTTGTAATGGAATATTCTAGGACCAAACACTGGACATGGAATTAGAGGATGTGGGTTCCAGTCCTGGCCCTGCCATTGACTAGCTACATGACCTTTGGCAAATCGCTTAACTTCTCTAATGACCAGTTCTCTTATGCAAGAAGCAAGAATAAAATTTCTTGGTATTATTATGAGGTTGAAATAACACAAAATGCCTAAAAGCACATAGCTGGAAAAAAAAATCTAGTTTGGTTTTCATACTTTCAACACAATGTTGTTTAATAAACTTTAATTTCCTTAGCTCCTACTAGTAATCCAGGCACTTTACAGGGAGCATTAGACTTCATTTCCTTAATCCTCATTAACACCATGCATTAGACTGTATTTTGAGAGAACAGAGACTGGTCTCCCCTTAAGGTCTGAGTGACTGTAATCCATGTTTTAAAGACGTAGCTCAGAGACCCCAAATAACTTCAGGATCATATAGTTACTAGGTGGAAAGGATTCAGTTTATGCAACAGCATAAAAGTCTCCTTTAGTTGAGCCAAGCTCCCTCTTTCTTTTTTTTGTTTACAAGTGTCTACATGGGGCAGCGCCTGTGGCTCAAGGAGTAGGGCGCCAGCCCATATACCAGGAGCGGTGGGTTCAAGCCAAGCCCTGGCCAAAAAACTGCAAAAAAAACAAAAACAAAAACAAAAAAGTGTCTTCAAATCCTTTTGAAATGGTAAAAGGAAGAGAATTTTTATTTAAATCCCCATTTGCCACTAAATGGCTGTAAGCTTTTGGAAAATTCATTTTACACATTTATTGAGGGCCTATGTGTCTCAGTCACAGCAGGAAAAAAAAATCTCTGCCTTTCAAAGGGCCTATATTTCACTGAGGAAAATAGTTCCCCTTTTGGCCTGAGTTTCCTCATCTGTCAAAATGAAGGGAGGCTGGATTGGAGGAGGGGCTGGTAACTTCTGGGCAGCCAACACTGACACCCACTGGTGGAGAGTGGACTTGGCCCAGGCTTCAGCTCTTGTATCAGTCCATGGTGGAGCTGGCTTCCTCCTACCCTAGAAAAACATAGGCCAACCCTCTGCCCCATTCCCGGCCACGCACCTGCTACAATGACAGAAGTAAAACCAAAGAACATCCCCAGTGCCATCTTCTGCAGAGTAGAGGGAAGCAGCTTGCACCGCAGCAGTAGAGGGTCGATCAAGTGGTCCTTCAGAGGGACTAGAATCAGCACCACCACTACATTGGCCAGGAGGAGCCAGGCTTCCGGGATCTGGGCAGGAAGAAGTCAAGAGAGGAAGGATAGCAAAGCAGAAAGCTGCAGTTGGGGGACATGGACTTTACACTGTACCTGCATCTAGGGGAAGCTCCTTCCCCTCTCTGGAACTCACATTCCTCTCCTGTGTAACTCAGCGGTAGGATTAATTCAGGGATGGCAAATAGGCTCCTCTTGTATTCTAATTTCTATCAACTGGTAGTGGATGCTTGGAATCAGCATAAAAATTGTCATGATTGATTAGTGATGTCTACCATGGGCAAGGAAATGGAGTATAATGGCAAATATGTCATTTATCTACCAGCTCTGAAGATCTCTGATTTTTACAAGTCTCTGAAATGCCAAGGAATTGCTTTAGAAAGTTCCAGTGAAAGGTAGGGATCTAGGTATTTAAGGGTCTCCAGGAAAGAGGGAACAAAGTAGAGTTGAATGGGACCTGAGTGTGCTCCATCTGGGGGTGCAAAATTGGGGAGTTAGGCCTGCTTTGGAGCACAGTGTGGTGGAGTGAAGCTGGCCTGAGTGTTTTTGAGCAGTTGAACTCAAAACTTCTTGGCAGGATGCCTGCCCCTGGGCTGTCACACAAGCCTGGCCCAGGTCCCACTGCAAGTGCTTTTCCTATATCCTAGGTCACTCTGCAGCTGGGGAAGGGAGTGTGAAGATAGCTTCATTTCCTCCTTTTAGAGGAAACCCCCAGCCTGGCCTGAGCTGGGTTCTAAACACACGCGTTGTCTCTCACCGTGTAGCTACTGCCCTGGACTCTCAGGGCCATGGAGCTGGCAGCGGAGTTGGCTGGAAAAATGTTTGGAATGTGGAGATGAAGACCTTGCAGGACAAACGTGGACTGCATCTGCCAAGAGAGACAAGGTGAGGCTAGAACAGGGCTGGCCACACCACTTCCAGCCCCAGATAGGTCCCAGCTTCCAGGCGGGCATCCCTTAGCAGTAGAATAGGGCAGCTGTGCAGCTGTCCTCTCTCCCAGCCTCTCGGCGGAAAATAACCTTCCCATCCCCCTTCTTCCTTGGTAGCCAGGCTTGGCAGAGAGCCTCCTTTGCTCTGATCTCAAGTCTGTGAGCAGTGTGTACAGTCTCAGCTGAGAGCCCAGACGCTGCTCATCTGACTCACATCGAAGTCTCCAGGGCTTGGCAGAAAGTGAGCGTGGATACATGTTTATTGAAATGGGGAAGATAATGGCACAGTTCTCCCCACGGGGAGTTTTCGTCTGACACTGAAGTCAAGCTGAGTCCCACAGGTTGACACAGAGAGACCGCATAGGCACAGACCTGCCAGAAGGCTGTGGACACAGCTGTAGGAGCAGACTTTGTCCCAAGCCCCTAGTGGACCCCTGCCACACCAGGCATTGCCTTTTTAGTTGCTATATAATGGAGGAGGCTCTAGGGAGACTCCAGGAGGGGCCAGGCCAGGAGAGGACACTTGGGTCATTCAAGGTAGCAGCTATATACCAACTGGTATGGAAGGATATCAGTATTCTCACTGGGATGACTGAGAGTCAGCCATGGACACCCTCATGTCCCTGTCTTATCATGGACACACTCTGTGCCATCTGTACATAGCAGGCTGGCGGCTCCAACATATGTTGCTGTTGAGGGGGTACGGGAAGGAATGACCTTATGGCCTGGAGGTTAAGCTGCTACCCACCCTATGTGCACGAGCATGCACACACACACATACACACATGCATACCCACGCATATACTTGAGGGCTGTCCAGAAGTATTCATCCATGTAATATGGAAAATAGAGACTTACATGGCTGGATGCTTTCTGGATAGCCCTCATGCACACACATCCTGCTAGCCTTCCCCTTGGGAAGCAGAATGGTGGGCAGGAGGCAGTAGTTCTTAGACTTGAGTATCAGTAGCATCTGAGAAGTTTATTAAGCTGGAGACTTCCCCAGCAATTCTGATTCAGTAGTCTGGGGTGGGACTTGGGAATCTGTATTTTTTAAAAGTGCTGCAGGTGTTTCTGAGACACAGCCAGATTGGGGTTGAGTACTATTGCATATTCAACACACTCAGCTTGCCCCTGACGGGCTGCGCTGCTTTGCACAACTCACACACCCTGTCTGGGCCTCAGCTGCCAAGGCAGAGGATCTGAATACTGCAGAGCGGAAAGAGGTTCTCATCTAAGCTATCCATTGTACACATGGAAAACTAAGGCCCAGAGAGATGGGTGACTTATTCAAGGAGCTGGGCCTTGGCACTGTCTCCAGAGGTTCTCCTGCTATATGACCCAAGGGAGTTTAATTGGACAGCTTTGTTCCAGCCCCCACGTCAGCTGACATGAAGCAGCAGCTCACTCTGTTACCTTCTTCCTCCACTTCCCGCATGTCCTGGACTTCCCTGATGTAAACTGAGGCCAGTGAGGCAACTGGGGAGCCAGGCCTCCTAGAACAACAGGGCAGGGATGCTCACCTGGAAATACACCATCCAGTAGGGCACCAGGGTCACCATGACAGGCAAGATCTTCACCAGCACCTGGAAGTTGGCGACATCCTCTTGGGAGGACAGCCCAGGCTGGGGAGACCCCTGGTCAGGCAGCAGATGGGCGCCCTGAGGGTCTCTGTGGGACCACACAGGCAGAAGATTAAAAAGGCAGCCATCATCATCCCACCACGCTGGCCACAGTGCTCACCTCTACCAGGATCCCCTAATTTAGTCTTCCTCCCTCACAGCTACCTTCTCAGAGGTTACCACCCTCTTCTCCTCCACCCCACTCTTCACATCACCTTTGCCAGGATCACCACCGCTGTCCAGGCCAGCATCCTGACTACCATCAGTAGTAAAGTGATTGCTGTTAACACAGCACCCTCTCCACAGAGTTTCCATTACTGTCACCATCACTCTTTCTCAGTGTTGGTAGGACTGCTGCCAATTTTATCACTATTGTCTCTTCTGTGGCAAAGGTGGCTAGTAAAGACTCATCCCGCTGCAGAATTGGAGGAAGTGAGACCAAAGACTGTGACCAGCAAAGTCTTAAGGCATATTTTTGCTCATAGCATCAATATGTCACGGCAACCAGGGGAGTCCTAGTCCATACTTGACTCAGAGGAGGAGGTTGTCATAGATTTGATACACCAGAATTCCCCTGTGTGCTGTCCCCAAATCCATCCTCTTCAGCAGTCAACATTATAACCCTCTCCCTACGCAAGACTGTAGGGAGTGAAGAGGCAGGGGAGAGGCAAAGCATCGCTAGGAGACAGATCCACCATTGCTGCAACCTTTACCCTTTGCCCTTTGTCTACAGAGGTTTCTGACCCTTTCTTGCTCGAGAGCCTTGCACTATCCTTTAAGATTCCAAAAGGGACAATATGACCATGGTCATCTCCAAAGACAGCCACCGTCAGCTCCCAGTATGTACTGCCATTCTGCCACCAACTGATGCAGTTTATTTCCTCTGCCACTGATTCTGGGCCAGCCCTGTGGCTGCTTTGACCAATGAAGTGAGGCAGAAGTGATGCTCTGGACCTTTAAGCCTTGTAATGGCCTTAAGAAGACCCGCCCCTTCTGCTTTCTTTCCTCTGGAACATTCATTCTGGGAATGCTCCTTCCTTTTGCAACCCAGACACCAGGCTGTGGGAAGCTCAAGCCACATGGCAAGGCCACTTAAAGAGGAAAGCAAGGTGTTCTATTTGGCAGTCCCAGCTGACAGCCCAGCCACGTTACTGAGGCACTTTGGGTGTTCTAGTCCTTTCAGCTATCAATACTGCAGCCCTGGTGACATCATGAGGATCACAAGAACTGCCCCACTGAGCCCAGTCACCCTCAGAATTGGGAAAGGGTATAAAAAGATTGTTGATTAGCTCACTAAGCTCTGGCATGGTTTGTCAAGCAGCAATAGAACCAAAAAACCAGACTTTCTGGCACTTGATGACTATACTCACAAACCAGATTGGGAGAAGCATATTCTTCAACTTTCATCTAGAGCCTATTGACAGGAGCTATAACTGGCTCCGAGATGTGGAGACAGATATGCATAGCATAAGTAGTTAATTAACTTAGGAAGCAGAGGACAGAAGGAAGCCACTGTGCTCATGCAAGTCCATTTAGAACCCTACCCGCCCCCCACACACACACTTTGGATGTTAGCAAATGGGGAAGGAAGCAAGCTCGGCTATTTCCCAAGACTCTGTTATACTTAATAACAAGCAGTGTAGAATGATATCCATTATATCCCAACAACCTTCACTGATACCATCATCTCCATCATTGCCACCTCTCCTGTCACTGTCATTCTCATTGCCAGTGTTTGTCTTCACTGTAAGGACGAGCATCCTCATACTCATCACCATGATCACTATCAAGACCATGACAGTCCTCACACTTCCTACACTTTAAGGGTCACCAATAATGGTATCAGCACCGGCACCATCTTCACCTCCACTTCCATCCTCAGTATTACCCTGCCCCCTCCCCTAACCTCTGCTCTTGACCCCAGTGGCCACTACAGCAGAACTGATCTCCTGGAGCCAGGCTGGGGAGACTTGCCTCAGTCGCATTGCAGTGTGGACCCTGCCTCCTAGGGTATGCTTCTGCACTACCGGAGGCTCCCTTCACCTGGAGCCCCCTACTCACCTGGAAGAATGTCGTTGCCATAGCCGGGGGCAGCAGTTTTGGAGAGCAAGCTTAAGCATAGTGGACACTTGGCTTCCCGCAGGGGGCTTGGTGATGAAGACGGGGGTGGCAAAGAGGAAGATGAAGAATGCCAGGCCCACACAGCCCACAGGGATGCTGTAGCCCAGCAGGAAGCTGATGTTCTGCTGGATAAAAGCCACCACCAGCAGGGACAGCACAGCACCCAGGTTGATGCTCCAGTAAAACCAGTTGAAGAAGCGACGGGTGGCATTGCGGCCGAGATCCATCACCTGCCAGCCAGGAAGGGATGAAAGTGAGGGCCAAGGAGGCTGAGGGGTGCTCTCTATAGCCACACCCCTCCCTCCCACAGGGAAAGAGGCACTTGGTGAGTTAGTGAGTAGGCATTCTCGAACTTTCCTAGTCTCTGATTACTAAGTAGATACTCAATAAATGTTTGTTAAATGAAGGAATAAACCCTTCCCTTGGGAGTCACTTGTTAATGGGCAGGACATGTTGGCATAGTTGCTTTTTCAAACCCATACATTGCTTTTTACTTTCACTGAGGAGTGCAAGCAATAGATTTTTCTGATGCCACTTTGTTCGTTTATGGTTGATTTATCGCTTTGTCTTTGACTAAGCAACCTATTCTATGCATTACTTTTATAATCAGAAAAAAGCCAATAAAGATCTCAGCTCTGTTCCACAATATGAAATATGATGTATGTATACATATTACTAAAAAAACAATTAGACAGTTGACGATGTCTTCTGCACTTGGGAGATGTAAACACAGTATTCTATCCTGATCCATCCCTTCCCCTTCGACTTGCCTCCCTCTGATAGATAAAAAAAAAATTTTCAGGCCCCCTAGCAAGGGCAGATGGGTTGAAAATCTTTACCCAGGATTTGGATCAATCTGCAACAGTCAGGCCCCAGGGCCCCCTGCTGGCTTTGGTCAGCCACACTGGCTGCTCCACTTCTCCTGAACCCTGGTCCTAGATTCTGACTCAGCAGGTCTAGGGGGGCAGGGCTTGGGCATTTATCTGCATTTTTAAAAAGCAATGAAGACTAAGGGTCATTTCAGTGGAGCAATGAAGAGATTCTCATTAAACCTGTCACCCTTTCAATAACACCCCAAATCTCAGCATCCAAAGACTGTGTCAAGCCTTACTTTCTATAGGGAGGGAAGAGCATGCCGCCTCACTGTGAGCCCTTCTCTAGACTTTCAAGCAGAAATTGAATAAGTCCCATTATGAGTAGCCACTTCTATATATTAATTGGAAGTAAATGAGTATGACAATTGTAATTCTTAACTGGGAAGACCAGGCAGCCCATTCAGGATATAAATGAGTTCTTCCACAATGAGCAGACACTTTGTCAAGAATGATGGATGGCCCTTCCTGAAATCAGCAAGTGTGTTAACACGCAGCTCCTGGCTAGAGCTGTCTGGCAGGTGGTGCCATTCCCTCCTGCCCCACATCCTGTCTGACTACCCCCTGGATTCTGCAGCAGCCTCCTGCACTGCTCTGGGGCACCCATGCTTGTTAGCCCATCCATTCTCTACACTGCAGCCAAAGCCAAAGAACTCAAATCCAGTGATGACCATCCCTGCCTCAAGCCATTTCAGTGTTCTGCATTGTCCCTACTTTCTAAGGCAGTTCAGTCTTGCTCAGCCAGAGTCCGTGCTCCGTAAATGGGAGAAAACACTGGAGATGCTGTCACCGTTGATGTCCTGGGAGGCTCCAGGAGATCAGTTCTGCTGCAGTGGACACCGGAAGGCTGAGGCCAGTGGGGTCAAGAGCACAGGTTAAGGGAGAGGGGAGGGAACACTAGTGGGATGTCAATGAAAGAGTAAAATGAAGAGAAGATGGGAGATTCCTACTGGCAAACATTGGCACCTCCTGGCCCAAAGGAAGGTCAACGGTGTGTGAGAAATGGCCAGAGCTGCCCTGGAGGCAGAGTCCCCATTACCAAAGGAATCTAAACAGGCTGGATGGGTGACTCCTTGACAAGGACACTAGAAACTGTGCTGAGTGCTGGACTGAGGATGCTGCTGGATGAAATGATCTTTTTAGAAAATGTCCCCTTTATGAGTGTAATATACACAATTAAAGGATATTTGAAAAACAGAGTCAAAAGGGAAGAAGTGCAATTAAGCCCAGTGGCCTGATCACACTCCCATTATAGTCCTTCAGGTCCCCACCTTTGGTTGACACTTAGTCTTTGCACGTGGCTGTGCTCCTGTCTGTGTACAATTCTACATCCTGCTTCTTCTCATTAACACCATTTGTGTTTGTTTTAGTCATATTACACATTAGTCTAAATTACTGTCTAATATCCCACTGAGTAGAGCTATCAAAATGCAGCCCCGTTGTTAGGCATTTACTCATTCATTTAGCTAATATTTATTGAATTTCTCCTACATGCCATGCTCTGTCCAAGGAAGAATGGAGAAAGGCTTAGAGGTCGAGGTATTTGCCCAAGTGCCCCCAATTAGCGAGCGATTGGAATAAGTCTGCCTGGCAACCTCTGGCACTGCTGGTAGGAAGAGGCTGTAACACAGAGATGGGGTTAGTGGTGAGCCCTCCATGTCACCTTGGACAAATTAATTAAAGCCTTGAAACCTCAGTATCCTCTAAAATGGGCATAATACTGCCTACCTCATGGGCAGTGAGTTGGATTAAATGAGTTAATGCAGTGGAAATGTTTAGGGCCGGCATGTAAGCCCTAACTGTGGTTATTTCCAATGCTGTTGCCATCGGTTTTGTCAGGGCTTGCACCCCTCTTCTTTCAAACAAGGAAACTGGGCGCACAGAAGGGAAGTGGTTTATCTGAGGTCACCCAGGGGGTCAACGCCTCGAGGCTCCTGGTCCCAGGTCCACTGCTTTCCCTTCACATCCCCAGGTCCTCCCGTCGGGGCAGACCTCCTGCCACTCACCTGGTCGGCACCGAAAGAGGTGAGGTTGCTGCGGACAGAGCTGGCGGCCAGGGCGAGCAGCAGTAGCCCGGCGTAGAGAGTGGGTGCGCAGTAAGGGCTGGGCGAGGAGGTCCTGCAGCCGGGAGAGGGACAGGCTGGCCCCAGCGGCGACGCTGGCATCTCGCCGCAGAAAGAGCGACGGCCATCGGGGAAGGCGGTGGCAGGCAGCAGCCCCGAGGCGACCAGATACAGCAGCAGGCTGATCGCCACGGCGCGGTAGCGACCCAGGTACACGTCCGCCAGCCAGCCACCCACAGGCGCCAGCAGGTAGGAGGCGCCCAGGAAGACCAGCGCGGCGCGGGATGCCTGCTGGCCCGCCCAGTTGAAGTTGACGCTGTTGAGGTAGAGCACGAGGTTGGCCGCGACGCCGAAGAAGGCCGCGCGCTCCAGCATCTGCACCAGCAGCACCGCAGCGCCCGCCACCCGCCGCCACCGTCTAGGGCCCCGCGCACCGCGCGACAGCAGCGGCCGGCGCTCCTCCGGCACGCGAGGCCCGGCTGGGGTGCGCAGCTCCGGCATCCTGCGCCCCCGAGGCTCTTCTCTACCCCACCTTCCCAGCCCTCCGCCCAGTCCCGGCCCCTGCCGCTCCCGACTACTGGCTTGCCTCCTTTCTCACCCCTTTCGGCTCACCCTTCTCTTCCTTCTACCCCCTTCTCCCCTGTCCCCTCTCCCTTCCTTCCACTACCCTGGGTCCCTCCGCTCACTGCTGGGACTCCAGCTCCTCCTAGTTGTCCACGCTCCTCTCCCCTCCTTACACCCTGCCCACCTGCCGTTTCTCCCTTAACTCTCCCCTTTCTTCCCTCCACCCTGACCTCCTCTCCCTCCTTTCTTACACACTGCTGCCCCTCCCCCACTTATCTTCCCTTCCCTTTTTCTTTCCTCCCTTTCTTAACTGTTGTCCCCTCTCCTAACGACATCTGGCCCGCACTGGGGTGGGGGCGCCCTCTGCCCCACCAGCCCACTCCGCCCCTCGCTGGTCCTGCTGTGTCCTCGGCCTCCTCCCTGTCCCGACTGCGTAGCAACCCCGCCCTCCTGGCTCCCCTCTGGCGCCCTCCTGGCTCAGTCTCCGTCCCTCTCAGGCTTCTTGAGTAACTCTAGGCTTCCCTCGCTTCCGCTTTCACTGTCCCCTGTGGCCTGCGTCACATGGGACAGCTGGGTGTTTAGGAGAAATGAAAGCCTGGGGTCACAGGCTCCTGCCCGCCCAGCTTTCTAAAATCTTCCCTCCTCTTCCGCCTGTTATCCTCATCCCCCCACCCCTCTGCCCGCCTCCCTAGAGCCCAGAGGAATATTTTCTTTCAGTTTCATTTCTTGCCCACTTTCCCTGCATTCTATTCCCATCAAAGTCCAAGCCTATACTGATGGAACTGGAAAGATCCAGCATCATTTGATTGCAAGCGCCCTCTTCACAGATGCAGAGACTGAGACCTGGAGATGGCAGTCTGTAGAGGACAACAGGTGGATGGTAACTGAACTAGGGGTAAACCCCTGCCTGGTCTCCTGGGTGACAATGCAATTTGGATTGTGCAAATGTTACTGTGAGGAAGGAAGTGGGGCACCTTCAAGAAGGCTGTGGCACCACAGAGACCCACAAGTGGGTCAGGATTGAGAAGGACGCTGACCTCAGACCAAATCACTGTGGGCCTCAGCACTCCCCTACTCAGAACCCTCTGATGCACTGAGGAGAAGAGCCAGCCCTCACCTTGACCTGCAAGATCAGGAAGATCTGGCCTCTGCCTTCCTCTGACCTGGTCTCAGCCTCAATTTCACTCAAGTTCAGCCATCTGACCTTTTTTTGGTTCCCCTCACATGCTAAGTTCTTTCCTGCCACTGGGCCTTTGTTTTTTCTGTGCCCTGTGCTGGAACTGCTCTTTCTCTGGATTTGTGCATAGTTGGCCTCTTCTCTTTATTGAGGTTTCAGCTGAAATGTCTTTTGTCCATAGGTTCCTTCTGGGATCATCCTACTTAAGCAGTTGCCTACTGGATTCCCAGCATCCTTTCTGTCACACTGTCCTGTTTTAATGTCTTTGGAGCATGCATTACTCGTTTTCGTCTCCACCAGTAGGACAGACCCTCCGCTGGATCAAGGACACCTTGTCTAATTTTTCACTGTTTTATTCCCAGTTCTGCCTAAGGGCTTGGCAAATACTAGATGCTTAGTAAGTACTGGCTGAATAAATGAATGGAAAGAGGGCCCCCCGGCAAGATTTGTATGCATAACGTTAAGAAGGCTAAAAACCTGCGGTGCCTGTGGCTCAGAGGAGTAGGGCACTGGCCCCATATACCAGAGGTGGTGGTTCAAACCTGGCCCTGGCTAAAAAAAAAAAAACAAGGCTAAAAATTAAAATAAAGCAAGTTGTGTTGGGCGGCGCCTGTGGCTCAGCGGGTAGGGCACTGGCCCCATGTACTAAGGGTGGTGGGTTCAAACCTGGTCCCAGGCCAAACTGCAACAAAAAATAGCCAGGCTCTGTGGCAGGCGCCTGTAGTCCCAGCTACTTGGGAGGCTGAGGCAAGAGAATCACTTAAGCCCAGGAGATGGAGGTTGCTGTGAGCTGTGACATCATAGCACTCTACTGAGGGTGACAGAGTGAGACTCTATCTCTAAAATAAATAAATAAAATAAAGCGAGTTGTGATACTAGCAAAAAAGTGGGTATCTTTAGTACGTGACATCAGGTAAGAAGCCCAGCCATGGTGAATGGGACCAGGCCATGGCTGTGTGAGTAATGGGGAGTGATGGTAAGAAAGCAGAGCTCTCCACCCTAGGTTTTGGTTGCTGTAGTCGGGGACCACGTGGCAGGCAGAGCCTGGAGGAGGGAAGACCCTTCAAACCTTCTGTCAAGCCACCTCCACACCTACTTGGAGGAAGCTCATGATTGTCAGCCGTGGGGATGTGGTGACACAGCGTGGGTCACAGCAGGCCCAACTCTTTCCTCTCTTGGCCAAGTGACTAAGCTGGCACATGTGACAGATGCCACTCCAGATGGCTGAGTCTTACAAACCAAAGTGCTAACCTGCCATTAGTGACCTGCAGCAGGTGGTGGATAAAGGAAAAGACAAGTATAAACAGTGTGGCCTACAGAGAAAAGCCAGGAGAGGAAAGCAAAGCAGCAAAGACAGGAAGAGCACAGGTTCTTGCTTCTGCCCAGGCTTCCTCCCCCAGGTAGGTGGCCCCATGGGAGGAAGGCGCAGCATGCCTGGGGTGTGGCAGGTACACCAGGAACTCCAGTAACCTACAGTGGAATTGTCTTCACATCAGTCCTGTCCCTGGGGTGGGTTCACGGGGAAAGCCCCAGGGACATTCACTCAGCTGGGGAGAAGGCCAGGGGGATTTGCCTCTCTCAAACTGGGGAAGTAGTATTCTGAAGGTAGACACGACTGTCCCCCAGGGCATGAGTTATGACATTGATTACTGTGTGAGAACAGAAGTTTGGCTGTGACATAAGTCCTGTGGTTTGGTCCAGATAATGTTTAGCCACATGCTGTCAAGTTTTTTGGTTTTGTTCTTGTGATTGATTTTTAATTTAAATTTTGAAAAAAAATTTTAGTTATCTCCTTAAAAATTCAGAAACATTCACATGAAAATCCAGATTTGGGGCTATATATATATATTTTTTTTTTGAGGCAGAGTCTCAATCAGTTGCCCATGGTAGAGTGCTGTGACATCGTAGCTCACAGCAACCTCAAACTCTTGTTCTCAAGCGATCCTCTTGCCTCAGCTCCCTGGGTAGCTGGAACTACAGGTGCCTGCCACAATGTCTGGCAATTTTTAGAGATGGGGTCTTGATCTTGCTCAGGCTGGTCTTGAACTCCTGAGCTCAAGCAATCCACCCACCTCGACCTCCCGGAGTGCTGGGATTACAGGTGTGAGCCACCGCACCCAGCCTGATTTTTGGCTATTCTTGAAATTGCAGGAGTTGTGGCAACTCTGGGCCTGCGTGCTCAGAGGGCCAAGTGGCTGCCACCCTGTCTGGTGAAGTGACATGCTAAAGAGGCCCTGCAGAAACTTTGGTTAGAGGATGATGAACATAAACCTTTTTACCTGCATCGAGCTACAGCTACCATTGAGTGGGAGAAACACAGAGGTTCCATTTTCAGCAAGTGTTCATCAAGGGATCACACTGAGAAAGATTCCAGACCAGCTTCTGGAGTCTCCTGGTTCCCCTGATGGCACTCCACCATGCCTGAGTGAGAGCTGTCAGGTTTGGGGAAGTTCAAAGGTGGAACTTGCCTAACTTCTTAGGTCCCCAGCCTCACCTTCTAAAACCCAGCACAATTACTTTATGTGGTTGAAAAAATGAAGCAATGAAACCTTGATCTAACTTCTAGGTATAATTTACTTATTTACTTATATCTTCCAGGTATAATTTACTTATTTCTTCCCTTCCTCCCTTCCTTTCAGCAGAGTCTCACTCTGGTAGAGTTCTGTGGCATCATAACTCACAGCAACCTCAAACTCCTGGGCTCAAGCAATCCTCTAGCCTCAGCCTCCTAAGTAGGTGGGAATACAGGTGCCCATCACAACACCTGGCTACTTTTTCTATTTTTAGTAGAGATGGGGTCTCACTCTTGCTCAGGCTGGTCTCAAACTCCTGAGCTCAAGTGATTCATCTGCCTCAGCCTCTTAGGATTAGAGGCATAAGTCACAGGGCCTGGCCAGCATGTTCAATCCCAGCATGCCTGGGGTGTAGCAGGTGCACCAGGAATCGCAGTAACATGCAGCAGAATCGTCCTTCCAGCACTCCTGTTCCTGATGGAGGTGTGTAGCTACTCACAGAATGTTGTTGCCTGGTTGTGTTGCTTCAAGACATGGTTGAAGACTGCTGGTCGACTCTATCCCCATGACTACCAGGAGAGCCAGGTGCCTTTCAAGGAGTAGAACAGAGCAGACAAATTCACAAGCCTATGAGGTCAGAATGAATGAGCAGGACATTCCCAGGGCCACAGGTGAGGATGAGACACAGACTGTGGACTGGCCCATGGGAGGCCACAGCCCCTAGTAGGGAAGATGACAGTAGATGACTCATCCTTATTTTGTCCCCTTAGCACCCAGGAGTGAGACCACCCATAGATTGGGAGCTAGGTGGGACTGCAACATCTGACCAGTGATGGTTGTTTCTTATTACATCGTTTTATTAAATGTCTCTTCTCACCAACCTTTTAGAAAACAGCTGTCCTACCTGTCCCTTGTTTTAGATATCCTGAAGGCCCTGTCCCCAAATTTCACTGATGCTACCCTACAACTCTCTTCTGTGGCCACCCACTTATTTCCCACTTCACAGCACTGGCCCCATTTAGGCAGCTAGTGTTCCCTGCCTGGACCAGTGCAGTAGCACCTTTTGGTTCCTGTTCAGCACTGTGACTGCAAGGCCCCCTCCTGGTTCTTGAGATAAAGTCCCAACTCCTTTGTCCAACTTTGAAGGCTTCTAGGAGTAAGACCTCTGGAGCCAGTCCCACACTTCATCTTCGCCTGCTCTCTGTCCATGCCTCCTGTCCTGGTCTGCCTTCAGCCACAGTCAGCTTCTACCTCTTTCTCATCTGTAACTTGGAACATGCTGCTCTTCCAGCCTAGACATTTCCATGACTCATTACTATTGGTCCCTCAGGACTTGACCCTGATGTCACACCTTCCAAGAAGTCTCCCCTGATTTCTCAAGGCTGGTTTATCCCTCATACCCCTCTGCAGTGACTCATGTTATAATTGCCTGCTTTCTTGTCTGTTTCTTCCACTAGACTAGAGACTTCGTGAGGACAGAAGTTGCGTTTTCTTTATCTGTTGATTTCAGTGTTTGACATCACACCTGGTACATA